GTCTGGTTTGAACAGGCAGGAAATGATAGATAGAGAGAATGGGGATAAAGACTTGGTTTTATTTGAGGACTTTGGCAAGATGTTGTGCTCCATGATGGCCGATTCGATTCTCTGCGAGGGTCAGTGTGGTTACTGTCTGTCTTGAGGAGGCGATGGGTGATAACAGATAGGGATGGGGGGGACACTACTTTGTTTTGTTCGAGAGTTCTGGCAAGCTCTTGTGCGCCTTGATCCTTGATTTGATTGCCAAGGAGGTTCAGCGTCGTTAGCGTCTTGTTTTGAAAAGAAAGTAAATGATAATACATGGAGGCGTGGATATTACTTTGTTGTCTTCGAGAGCTTTGAAAAAATGTCGTACTTGTTGAGTACCGATTGTATACCTATTGAGGTCAAGTGTAGTTAATGTCTATGTGTCAGAATAAGAAAGCTGAAAGGATGAAATCTAGTTCAGGAAAGGTTATCTTAATGGGACCTATAATGAGTAGTTTTCGCTTCCATAGGAAAATCTTCGATATAGCTCATAGGCATTGGAACATTGTTTTTTGGAGAAAACCGATACTGAAAGTGGCAGAAAATTTAAAAGTTTTTGTAGTACTATAAATTGTTTTCAAAGTAATGTGTGACTAATGAGTCCGATTCTGAAGCTCGAAAAACAATGATGAAAATTAGTAACAGCAAATAAATTCTGGCATAGTTACGGCTTATACTCGTAAATGTCTGGTATTCAAAAGTGAATATCTCTCGTGGATGAAAAGAGTTGTTCATACTCTGACGCTTAGTAGACTTTTTTGACCTATGCGTTTTGTCTCAAATGTTAATAGGGTTACGTGTGCTGTTTTAGTTGATCTGAAGCGGAAAGAAACTTCTCATATATCATTTTGTTTCAGTAATGCAATACTGAATTAAGGACATGACTCGTACAAAGGGTGAATCTGAGCAGTTTTCTCTTTCGTTACTTCGGTTTGCATAATGGTCTTTGAAATGAGTGAATAGTAGCGATATTTTACAGTTGATTTTACCTATTGTCAATGATCAATCACAATTTTCTACTGAAATTTAAAGCATAAGTAGTTTTCAACAGGTCGTCAAATTTTTTTGGTTCGATCTGATTATGGGTTGTTAGCTAGGAAAAATACTCTAATGAGACTGTATATAGATTGGGATTTCGAAGATATGAATAAAGTAATAAAGATGAGGCAAGTCAAGTTTTTAGGTATAAAAGTATTTTACCTAATATTGATAGTAGGTGTCGACAATTAGATTCATGCGTGCACAGATGTTTCATGTGAAACATAGAAGATGAAAATCATCAAAGTGATCAAGAATTCGATAGACGAGTTCTACGGGTAGTATCAAAAGATTTGGAATATTTTTGGCCGACATGAATGAAAAGTTTTGAGATATTTGAATGTTAAAATGTATGTTGTATATATGGTGTGTCAGAGCGGGTTTGATTTTTCGTTCAAGTGAGTTTATAATATCTGTGTGTTGTAAACTCCTGATGCTTTTGCAATTACTGGTTCATAGAAAGAAATGCAAAGCAATCATACGTAAATATTTTTTGCGTAAAAATCCTTCTGAATCATACTTCGTTTGTCTCTACTTGCGGCTCAAGAAAAACATTTCTTGCGCCCTGACGCAGTTTCTAACAATACTGCGCTTGAACGCATCGACTTTGTGCTTGGTGTTTATTTGAGATGATAGATGGTGAAAGTGTCATGATAACAACTACAGTTAGCTTTGTATTTTGTGAAATTTGATTTGTCGCATGGTAAAATATGAATATTTATAATTGTGGAATTTCTTTTTTCGTTTTTCTTTGATGACTCTTGTCTGAAATTTGACAGGGTAGTTGATTGCATAAGATTTCTTTTTTACATTTACTGATTGTCGCATATGCAGTCCATTATCTGATGATCAAGTAAGTCGAAAACATCGAATCATGCCCAAAATCAGGCAACTGTAGACCCCATTGCATTTAAGGCTTTATCATTAGAGTTCTCCAGACCATTATTTAAGCGTAATGTACTCGTCAATTATCTTATTCGTCACTATCTGCCATTAAGAAAGTGTCCGAAATCTATGGTTAGATATTGTGTGATGACATATAATCGATAGTTTTGACAAAATCCTTTTAATAACATTAAATGATTCACACAAGAATGGCTCTATGAAGATTTGCATCGGCATCATATTTTGTGTTATCTGCATGTTATTTAGAAATCTTTCTCTATTGTTGTTAAGATTGTAGGAATGTTTTGACGCTGCTTCATATAGGAATCAACAGCCGTCGTTGATTATTATGCAACAATATGAAGCGCGATTCTTAAAAACATCTGATTGCCAAGTTTGATCGTTGTTAAATTTTGTATGGATTTTTAAGTAAAAAATGATAATATATTGTTCTTTAAATACTATTGATACGTTGTGCTTTCCTTAAATGATAGAGATTACTACACTTTTGTCTAACTTCTTACGAATTTACTTTTCTAGCTTTTTGCTTTTCTACTTATCCTCAGCCAAGATCGAATTCTGCGGCTCGTAACGAAGGCGAATATGATAGGCCTAGCGTGACTGTTCACATTTATGCCAACATCTATCATAGCTTTCTGAAGCGGGTGATATGACATTGGAATCGTTAACGATTGATACAAAAACAGGAAAGGCAATAATTCGTCTTTACAACACTCGTTTTTAAAATGAAAAGAAACATAATCGTGTAACGCGCCTAAACGTAAGCAATGTCGTGTACCGCCCTGTCAGTCTCGTATTCTAACAATTGTATAAATACGCTAGGATATCAAACGGTATTTTCTTCTACTAAAATTGGAAATTTTATTTTTCTTTATTACAAACATTTTCTTGTTCTATATTTTATTGCGTTGACAATGAGTGTCTCGACGAATCCCGTTGGCATCTTTATTTGTTGTTATCAGTTTCATCATTGCTGGCGGCTAAATTAGAGGACAATGATAGATGAAAATTGCTATATTTAGATTGAGAAAAATGAAAAAAATAAAATAGCGTTTCACTGTTTGACCTTCTTGAATTCTATTTTACGATTTGTATTCGCTGAAAGCCAATGACAAGAGAATACAATTCTATCATATTGATAAATCTGTGAACATCCGTGTACTTGGTTTCAAAGTTATTTTGAAATGAGACCAGATATTATGAGTGCTCGTCTTGTTTTAGTGATATTGGGAAATTGTATTTCGTAACATATGACAAAGGAACGTATTCAATAGTCGAACGGCATTCGACTACATATTATGGTTATGAATAGATCTTGGTGAGACTAATTTAAGCTACAAAATGATCTCTGACCATGATTTACATAAAAGAGGACTGGTTGTTATAATGAACTTATTCCTGAGTGTAAGGTATTTGCGAAAAATCCAAAACAAACAATATTGATGTGAAATTAGGTCTAATTTCACATCAATATTGTTTGTTTTGGATTTTTCGCAAATACCTTACATTCACAAATAATTTAATTAAAACGATCATTACTCTATCAACAAATCATGAGTGTGAACCTTGGTAAATTTGACTTAGGCTTGATTAGACCTACTCGTAGACAATATATCAAGTGGAACGACATCCGACAATTGGATATGTTTCCTCGTTAGTGTATTGTAAAGATACTGTTGATCTTCATTGGATGGGTTAGTCGGACAGAATTACGTCATGTTGTGTTTTTGAACTATTAATAGAAAGCTTTTGCTTTTTCTTTACATATGATATCAACTGTATTCAGAGTTATTTTTTAGAAATTACTTTTTACTATTTTTATTCTTCAGGTTTATTCGAAATATTACGTTGACAAGATAGAAAAAACCGCAATATGCCATCAAAGAATCTTAACGAGTGTTAAGTTAGTTGTATAATCTCAGCAAATTAGACTATAGAAAATAATCCTCTAAGAATTATGTCGAAGTATATACTCATGTTTATAGTTTAATGATTTTAAAATATTTTCATAATTTTAGAAAACTAATCCCTTAAATTATTTTAAGTTGATAGTTTAATAATGTTCCATGATTTGTTATATGTACAAATCAATATTATTCTATTAAAGATATATTCTTTCGAATAGTTCATATGATCCTGGCTTCACTTTTTTCAGAATTTTTGTTATGAAATAATTCTTTCATTACTTTTTCAATCAATTCAGTGTCAAATAAAACCTCTTAAGAGGGCGTCCATGAGATCATCGAGGAATTTTTAAAGGGTCCATACTCCCGAAAATTTTGGCCACCTCATTTTATTTGTGGAATCGATAGCCCATGAGGTGAAACTACTCTACCCAAAATATTTGCTCGATTGATTATATAACAAAAAAGTTATGCAGACCACACTGATGACTACACACTGATTAAGTCAAAATTGATACGACGTAGTTATCAAGCAAAAATCAGTATTTTTGAGAAATTATCTCTCAAGATTAGTTGATCCCAGAAATTTGGATCGTACATCGGATGGGCAAATAAAAAAGCTACAAAACCAGCCTAAAACAAAAAGTTTTTAATCCGTAAAAAAAAAATTTTTTTTTTTGGGAGTATGAGGTTTTTCGATCCTGTGGTGAACTCTCTCTTAAGCGGTTTATATGATCATCTGTTGACGACATCTATAATACTAGCGACAACTATTTCATGCCCAAGTCAATGTTCTTTACAGATCTGTCTTTCATATGCCGTTCGTTCGTTCCATGTGACCATTCTTTTTTATCGGTCATTGTTTTACGTTCTTGCTTTCTGTCTTATAATTACTCATACTAACATTTTTTCTAGATTAAAGTGGTTGTTACATTTGTTTGTCAAATGTAAAGATACTTTGCTATTATACGTCTTATCAATTGAATTGATTAGAACTTTAATTGTAAGTACTTTTTTGTTATCATATTTATTCTTTTTGACGTAGAGATAGCGGTGACTAGAGTTTGCTATCATGTAAATAGCTTAAAGTCTTTGTTGTTTTTAGATATTAAAGCCTTAATAATGAACACAGATATTGAGGTAATAAATCGATTGTTTTTCAAAATTGAAATAAATTTACTTACATTTAGTGCCGAGATTATCGTCATTTTGCTAATAATACATGTAATTTTATGCGTACAACACCTGATTGTAAATTAGATGATGGCTTCGTAAATTATCTCACATTTGTATTTTGCACTATTGGTGACAAATTAGTTGCTCTTGGATTAACATTATTAGTAAGTATTAAAAATATTATATTTTTAGTAATAATTTTTTTGTTATTTTAGGCTGGTTGGTTATTAATTCTATTTACTGGTCTAGGTGTAACTGCTGATTCTTAGTAAATAAATTACTTAGAAAACAAAAAATTCCTAAATCAAATAATTTTCTTTTAGTTTTTGTCCTGCTCTTCGTGTTATTGCTCGAGTTCTTAGATTATCAGAAAATATAGCGGTTAGTTTAATTCTACTATGACAAATTTAATAAGAAATATATATATGTTTTAGGGAGTTACATTCCTTGCATTTGGTAATGGTGCACCCGATATATTTTCTGCTATAGCTGCTGTTGGTAGTTCGAAAGGAGGTGATGTTGGTTTAGCATTTGGTGCTCTTTTTGGTATTTAATAAAAAATTTCTGAAATAATTTTAGAATTATTTATGTTTTTTTGTTCCTAAGGTGCTGGTGTATTTGTAACAACAGTTGTTGCTGGTACAATAGGTGTTCTAACACCATTTCGTTCAATACAACGACCATTATTACGTGATATAATATTTTTTATTATCGCTTCATTTGCTGCTTATGTTGCTATGTATGATGGAAAGATTTATCTAGCCGAAAGTTTAGGTTTTATAATAATGTATATTGTATATTTAATTATTTTAATTGGTGGATATTTTATTAATCGACAAATAAAAGATCGTCGAGCTTTATTACAAGCTGCACATACAGAAGCAGCAGCAAAAAGCTATGGATCTCTACAAACAGCAACGAATCAAGCTTCTGTATCTGTTGACGAAACAAATAGTGATATAGTTGATGAAAGTTATTCACAACCAGATGTTACATTTACATTATCATTACGTCATGCTTTTTTACCACGAGATGATACACCATGGTCAGAAAGAAATTTAATAAATAAATTTTTTTCAATAATTAAAGTAAGATAGATAGTAACTATATAGATTTGTTTGATATGATAGTTCATTTTTTTTTCTTATAGATGCCAGTTTTACTTATTCTTCATTTTACTGTTCCATTAGTTGATTATGATAAACAAGAACATAATTGGAATAAACTTTTAAATTCATTTCATCTTCTTTCGGGTCCATTGACTGTGTCATTTTTAACACGAGGTGAATAGATTTTAATTAAGAATATATAATTTTAAGAACAGGTTTGTTTTCTTTATTGTAGTGAGTTTTATAAAAATTCGAAATCTTTTCCCGGTATGGGCTGTGGTTGGTATTGTTGGAACAATACTTTGTTTCGCAATGTTAATATTAACTGAATATCATACAAAACCAAGATATCATTCGGTAATAGAATATTTATTTTAAACTTTTTTATCTATACTTGAGATACTTTGATTTCCATTTTTATTGTTGATACATCATTTGTCCTATTGATCATTTTTTTTGTTTCTTCTCTATTTAATGATTTGTTTTTTTTTTAAAGGGTTTTGCCTTTCTCGGTTTCACTGTATCTGTTGTTTGGATTTATTCAATTGCAAATGAAATTGTTAATTTATTATCAACATTCGGTATTGTCTTTGATATAAGTAATACAATTCTTGGTTTAACATTTCTTGCATGGGGAAATAGTTTAAGTGGTAAAATAAATAAATTTTTATTGTTTTTTGTTTTCTTTTATTATCTATATTAAATAGATTACGTTTCAAATGTTGTTTCTGCTCGACAAGGTTATCCAAATATGGGTATATCAGCTTGTTATGGTGGTCCACTATTAAGTAAGTATTAGTCGAATTGTCTAAGAGAAGAGTAAAATATGTTCGAATCTAGGAAAGCGAAATTTCTTAAAGCTCTCAGTTGCTATATAAATATTTTCGCAACTTCTATAATTTCGCAAAATTAATTAGTATTCGACTCTCCACCGATGATTATTTCTCATGATATTCATGGACTAATAGTCGGCAACAAATATTAAAATTCTTTTATTTTATTTAGATTTTCTCATGGGTCTTGGAATTCCATTTACTTTTGCGACAATTAAAAACGGTTCACCATTTGCTGTATGTATAAAATAATTAAACATTAAATATTAATTTTCTAAGAAAAATTATATTTTCTAGATTGATACATCTTTATTACAAAATGTTATTGCTTATTTTCTCTTCGGAAGTTTAGCTGGTACACTTGTATTTATTCCATTAAATAAATTCTTCTATAGCCGTCGATTTGGTACAGTATTGATTCTATATTATGTTGCATTTCTGGTTATAGCTATTCTAATTGAAACAAATGTACTTGGTTAAACAATGAACTTATTCGAAATCGAAATCTAGTCGTTCGATTTATATACATTTTTTCATTGTCTTTCAAACGCATAATCTATGTGCTTCTTTTTCCTATGATTGTATTTTTCTTGTCCTTTATATCTATAAAAACAAAAGAATAATGATGATCAGATATGGTCTCTTTGTTTTGTTAATGAAAAAACAAAAGTTCACAATGTTTATCTGTTAGTTTCAGATTGAAATAAAAAGAAAATCAATAAACTCGAAAAAACGAATATAAGAAATGAAAAGATAAAGAGAAAGATATATTGACACATTGAACTGCAGTAATTGAAAGAGAGAAAGAAAAAAAAAGATTTAGATGAATTAGAAGAAGAACTTGATAGTATTGATGATTCACTAGATGATGATGCCAATTTAAAAAACAAATTTCATCAAATGCTAATAAACAAAAATTTATCGAAGAATTCATATTGAAAAGGCACTTGATGCTACGGTAGGTTTTTAAAACTTTATAAATAAATTGGCAACTTTTGAAACAAAACTTCAAAAAAATTTAAATCATACATAAAATAGAAAAATGATAAGTAGCTTATGTCCGCATCAAAATTAAAGAAGCTGTAGGTATAACCCAGAGATGTTTATGATCGCCACGACAAGATCGCAAAATTGTATGAATTTGCACTCGATTCCACTGGTTAAAGTCCTATAGTCGAAACAGCGATGAATTCAATAGACATAATATAATTGTGTGAATTTAGCACAGCAATGGAGGAGATTTTTTGAAGAGTTTCTCGAAAATATTCGCGACAATGGCAAATTTTCAGCCGCAATGGATATTTTTGGCGTAACTTTAATAATCCAACAATGAAAACTCTCAATATTGTAGAAGAATTGCGTACAAAATTTCAGATAGTTTTTTTGCAAAGTAAAATTTATTATAATGTGAAGATATGTTTCTATTATTTTAATTCAATTATTTAGTCTTAAGGAGACTCTGATAATACATGAAAAGATTGTATTGTCTTGAACTAGTTTTCGAATTTGACTTATTCTACTACATACAAGCATGATTTATGGAGAGAAATTAAAAAAATGAATTTTATTTATCCGATTGAATAATCCTAAGAATATACTTGAAGTTTCCAATCAATTAAATGCTTTTTTTCCAAACGATTCATCATTTTGATAGACTGATTTTGTGAACATTTTATAATAATAAGGTAGAAATAATCATCGAGACTAAATCTTACTTAAGCATCATTTAGGATTATTTAGACTCATTGAAAGTAGAACTTCCCAAACGAAATTCAACTAAATATCAAAATTTGAAAGTAATAGCTAAAGAAAATCGATTCTTTTGAAAGTTTTTTTCCATCGTTTATCAAGGTCTATACGTAATGCTTTTACAATGTTAGCAATTCGAAATCTGAGCAAAACTTTTTGGAGCATATTTTGTCATGAGCGAAAAGAACTCGTCAAGTTACTTATAGAAATGTTGTTTTTTGACATATTCAAACTATGTTTTTTCTAGTGAAAGTTAGGAAAATCAGATATCAAAACAAAAAAAAATCAACAGAATCCATAAAAATTGAAAGACGTCAAAAACATCAAGCCTCAGTAGCTTCAATTTTTATTCGAATATTTTTTGATTTAAACTCTTTATATAGCTAGGAAAAAAATT